GGGCATCACCACCAGCTCTTCAATCACGGTGCGCTGAGGCAGCGTGGCGGCCAGATGAATACAGCGGGCCACATCTTCGGCCTGCATCATGGTTTCGCGGGCTTCGGCATTCGGCACGGACGGACGATCTTTCAGAATTGGTGTGTCGACTTCACCAGGCACGATCACCGTGGCGCGAATGCCTCGATCACGCAATTCACTGTTGAGGCCGTGAGAAAACGCACGGACGGCCGCCTTGGCGGCGGAGTACGGAGACCCGCCCAGGATCCCGGGGCGAAGTGCCGACATCGACGATGTTGTGATGATTGTCCCGTCTCCCCGTTCGATCATGCCTGGCAGGCAGGCCTGAGTCAGGCGGTAGACTCCTTCCATATTCACCTTGAACACCGCGTCCCACTCATCCGGCTGAACAAAACGAACCGAACGGACTTTCGAGGAGAATCCGGCATTGTTGACCAGCACATCAATGCGCCCGCAGGCCTCCAGTGTGGCGGTTGCGACAGCGGCAGCCTCATCACCATTCGTGAGATCTGCCGGGTGGACAATGGCAGATCCGCCGGCAGCGGCGATGGCGTCGGCCGTTTGCTGCAGCGGTTCCCTGCGGCGCCCGACCAGCACGACCTGAGCCCCTTCTGCGGCCAGCATTTCTGCCGCCTCACGACCTATTCCCGTCCCGGCTCCCGTCACAATCGCTGTCTGATTATCAAGTCGTCCCACGTCATTCTCCTGGTTTCCTGCGTCGGACCATCCTGCCGCGGAGGAATCTCTGTCTGTGTTGTTTCGTCGATCCGGCTGCCCGCAACCCGCGGATCGAAGGATCAGATCGGCTTAATCGCCAGCAATGTAGCGAACTCCTGGCGGTGCTGCGGTGCCGGAGGGCCGGAAATTGTGACTCCGGCAACAGGATTTGCTGTCCGTTGGCCGGGCTGACAGATTTCCCTGGCAGGAGCCGGATTCCAGGGCCTGGTATGACCATTGGGTTTCTTTCGGAATCGTGAATCCACCGGAGGGATGCGTAGTCAATTCGACTCAACACCTGTTACTATCCGCAGATACAGAGAAATCTGCGCGCAGCGTGCGTAAACGTTGGCGCGTCAGGAATTTCCGTGACATCATCGTCACGCAGAAATGATCGCACAAAGAAGAACGAAAACATGACCAGTCAAGGCGAAGGACAGGATCCTCAGAATACCCCGGAAGACGAAGCAGTCAGGAATCTGCTCGGGCTGGGTTCGGATGATGCGCCACCGGCCACCGGTGAGCTGCTCTTCGATGATTATGAAGACGGAGCGGATGTGGATTCCCTGCTGGGTATCGTACGCGATGCCGCAGAAGCTGACGCCGAAACCGCTGACACGGGCGACGTCACTGCGGACGACGACGACATCGACTTCGACGACGATGAAGACGACCTGATTCTGTTTGACAGCGACGACGAAGACCTGCCGCAGGTCTCCACTGCACGGGTCGCCGCACCTGCCCTCGAAGACGAGGCAGATGACGATTCCGACGACGACGATTCCGACGACGACGACGAGGAAGATGACATCGCATTTTCCGACGAAGATGATTCGGATGACTACGATGACGTCGACGAAGGTGAGATCGGCGACGACGATCTGGTGTTCGGAGAAGACGACGAAGATTTTGAGGAAGAAGAGGCACCCGCGCCGGTGGCCGCCGAGCCCGCTCGCCGCGAATCCCGCAGTTCCGGCAAAAAGAAGGATGCCGGCGACGATTCCTACTGGAATGAACTCGATCGCTGGGTCTGGGACGACGATTCACCGAGTAGCGAGCGTCCGTCTGACGATGACTCCGATGACTCCGACGACGAAGTCGAAGCGCCGGCTGCAGAAGAAGAGGCGGCAGAATCAACCGCAGAATCAGCGGAAGAAGAAGAGCAGGAACGTCCACGACGTCGTCGCCGAGGCCGCCGTGGTCGCCGTGGCCGCGGTCGTTCAAAACGTCCGGCTGCCGAAGCCGAAACTCGTGACGACGAACCGTCCGCCGCAGCTGACGACGATGACGATGCCGACATGGACGAAATCCTGTTCGAAGAGGATTCGGAAGATTTCGTCAGCGTGTCGCCGGCTGAGTCTCCGCATGCACGAGGTCGCCGCCGCCCGTCCCGTCGCCGAAAAGCAGACGACGCAGACGACGAAGACAATGACAATGACGTGGTGAGCGACAGCGACAGTGATAGTGATGCCGACGACGTCGAAGAAGAACGACCGCGCCGCCGCCGACGTGGTGGTCGTCGTGGCCGCTCCAGACGATCCGAACGTCGTCCGGCGGCAGAAGAATCCTGGGAAGACAGTGACGACGACAAAGAATCCGCTGACGACGTCAGTCTGGACTTCGATGACAGTGACGATGACGAAGACGAAGATCGACCACGACGTCAGCGGACACGACGTCGTCGCCCGGCTCGTGCAAGATCCGACGAATCTGAAGAACGCGGTGACGAACGCAGTGACGAACGACCTCGTCGTCGCTCACGCGGGCGCGACGGTGGGCGCGACGGTGGACGGGAAAGTGGCCGCGACGGCGGGCGAGACAGCGGATCGGATGAAGGTGAAGCCCCACGACGTCGAGGCGGACGTCGAGAAGTCGCTCCGGAATTCAAAGACATCCCCAGCTGGGAAGACGCCATCGCGGCTCTGTCGATTAAGTCTCCAGGAGCCGATCACGCGGATCGTCGAGGCTCACGACGCCGTGGACCTCGCCGTCGCCGTCGTGACTGATCACCGCTGACAAATATTGCACCACAGGCCGGGGCCGCTGTCCCGGCCTGTTTTATGTCTGGTCATCCAGGCTCCGCTGGTCCCACGCACGGATAATAGCGCTGTTGTCCAGTTGCCCCTCTCCGGCAGCTTCCACGCGTTCCAGCAGCTGCCGATGCAGCTCTGAAAGCGGCAGCCCCGCGTTCAGGTCCTGAGCGCGATTCAGGATCAGTCGCACGTCTTTGAGATGCTGGCTGAGTCGTGCCTGAGCGCTGAATTCGCCATCGATCATCTTCTGACCCTTGGCGTCCATCACCGCGGAATAGGCCGCTCCACTTTTGAGGACGCCCAGGACAGCCGGCAGGTCCAGTCCCAGACGGTCGGCAAAGTGCAGGCCTTCGGCCAGCACCGCTCGATTCAGTCCCAGCACCAGATTGGCCACCAGTTTCATTTCCTGACCGCTGCCCACAGGACCCACATGATGCACGGTCCCGGCGATGGCTTGCAGGATCGGATGAACGGCCTTCAGAGCCTCTGGGTCGGCTCCCACCATCAATACCGCCTGGCCTTCACGGGTGACCACGCTGGAGCCCAGCACGGTTGCGTCCGTCAGCAGAATGCCGTCTGCCACCAGTGATTCCGCGGACTGTCGCGTGCGGCGCGGGTCGCCGGTCGTGGTATCGATCAGCACCGTTGGGCTGACCAGTGACGGTCGCAGGTGATTCAGGACATCATCCACAATGTCCGCGTTGGGCAGGCAGAGAACAATGCGACGAGCCACCGCAGCAACTTCGTGCAGGTCCGCAGCAGCCCGGCCTCCGGCGGCGGTGAAGTCGTGCATGGCCTGTGAACTGCTGTCGAATCCCCACACCGTGAAACCGGCCTGCAGCAGTCGATGAGCCAGCGCGCTTCCCAGCAGGCCGATGCCGATCAGGCCGACTGGTTGCTGAGTGTCCGCGTCCGCCGCCATTCAGGACTCCTCGTCCTCGTCAGCCGGGCCGTCGAACGAATCCAGTGAATCAAGCGACTCTGCCGAACTGGGGATCATCAGAATGACCAGCATGCCGGCCGCGTAGATCCAGCTGGTGATCGATCCAATGCGGGCATAGTCGTTGTCCAGTGCCTGCACAAAGCCGGGAATCGTCATCACGACCACGGCGGACAGAATCCGACCGGAGTTGAAGGAAACACCACTCCCTGTCGCACGGACACGCGTCGGAAACAACTCCGGCAGAAACAGGGGCAGCCAGCCGAAATACACGGTGGCGATCAGGCCCAGTACAAACACAGGAAACAGAAAACCGGTTCCCTGAGTCGGGTCCAGGAAGCTGAAGATCACCTGAGCCAGCACCAGCGACAGCAGGCTGACGAGAAAGTAGGTTGTTCTTCGTCCGAAGATCGTGGCCAGCCAGCCACCACACAGGCTGCCGATCGCCGCGCCCACCGCCCACCAGGTTTGAGTATCCGCTTTCAGTGATTCCTGACCGATGTCGGCTCCCACCTGTCCGGCCCAGGGAAGGATCCATTTTTGAGACCCCCAGGCGCCCAGCAGCGGAACCGTTCCCAGAGCAATCCCGGACAGCGTGGACTTCAGCAGCGGTGGTCGCAGGACTTCTGCCAGAGGAGCGGCGGGTTTCTGAGCCGCATTTTGTCCGGCCAGCCAGCGCGTGGATTCCGGCACGGCCGCCAGCACAAACACACCCAGCACCATCGGCATGGCGCCCAGCAGCATCATCCACCGCCAGGAATCGGGGGTGAGTTCCAGAGCGGGCCAGAGCACACCAATCTGTTTCACCACGATGCTCAGCAGAGCGATCCCCACGTTCGCGGACGTCCCGATGAGCCCGGCCAGAGTCGGGCGGGACACATCTTCCCAGGCCTCAGACACCAATGCGACTCCTGACGGCCACATGCCTCCGATGCCCATACACGCCACAAAGCGCATGACGCACATCTGCAGCGGCGTGGCCACGAAATAGCTCAGCCCGGTAAAGATGGAGTACCAGAGGATGCTGATTCCCATGGCCCGAACTCTTCCGGCGCGGTCTCCCAGCCAGCCAAAGATCCAGCCTCCGACCGCGGCGCCCAGCAGGAAGGCGGCGATATAACGGGCGAACCATTCGGCGACCAGCCGCTTCAGCCGTTCTTTGGCCTGGATGGTTTCGTCGGAGGCCGGGGCGTCATCCGACGTGAGTGACTGTCGGGCGGTGGTGACCCAGTCGGCATTTTCTTCCTGCTGCTGCAGCAGACCGATCGTCACCGAGCGAGCCGACAGGGGCAGCAGCGACATTTCCCAGCCGGCAAACATCCAGCCCAGAAACGCGGCGATCAGCACCAGCATTCGCCCTCGCCGATCCATCGTGAGTGCTGAGCTGCCTGGTTCTGCCATTGATCACTCGCCCTCACCAAAATGTCGTTGATCCACACGGCTCAGGCTCTGTGGATCGATTCCTGCGGTGTGAAGGTCCTGGGAGGGCGAAGCTCCCGTTGAGCCGCGTTGTCTCGATCTCATTCGGCTCGGCAGGAGCCTCGCCCTCCCAAAAACACAATTGAGCCACAGAGCCTAGTCCTGCCGGACCGGCGATGCAAACAGCCGCATCGGCCTGCTGTATCCGGGTCATTCCACCTCAACAGCCTCCGTTGTTCCGCACGCTGACCCGCGCGGCCGTCCCTGCGTGAGTCTGTCAGCCAGGCGTTCAATAGGTACCACTGCCCGACCTCACCGTCGATGCCGCTGTCCCGGTTCGCGCACCATCACCGACAACGTGTTACGGCGGTCGGCATACAGGAATCGTGTCCAGGAAGCGTGGTCCGTCCACTCACGGCGCAACGGGATCGAGCTTGCCGCGAGGGCAGACATCAATCGCGGTTGCCCTGGCGGAATCTCCCTGGCGGCACGTTTGCACACCGCGCAGCCCCTGGAAATGCAGGGGCTGTACAGGAGATTGCGACAGACTTTTATCTTTTGGTGCCATGTTTGACGTGGTCAACAACAGGGCGGGATAGCCCGTCATGACGGAAAGCCACAGCAGAAAGTATCCGTGTGACTTTGACACCGTCATTCAGGTGCGGCAGCATAACCCTTAGGGATCATGGGAGGTTTACGTAAATCAATTATGAAGATTTGATGAACCTATGACTCCTCAGGGCCGTTGACGCGACGGCTGTCGACGGGTTGCCACGGCTGAAATCCAGAGCCAGAAGTGCCCGCGGCCGCCGACACCAACTGCACACGACAAATGGAATTGCTACTGAACGCGCATTAATTCAGATCACCGACATCAATCCCCCCTATCCAGGCAGTGCATCATGCTACAGCCACGCTGGTTGAGATCGTTGTTTTCCGGAAACCACTCGCTGCCGACGTGGCGGCCGGAGCAAAGGACAAGGAGGAAGCACCAGTCGTGGATCGACGCCCGGGGAGGAAGCTCGGCGGCGGTGGAGAGACTTGAACAGCGAGTCCTGCTGGCGGCGGATCTGGCGGGTATCGACGCCCGAAGTCAGATCCCCACCGCATACTTCAATGTGCAGCAGGATACGGTCTATTGGGGGGATCAGATTGATCTGACTTTCGCGATCTTGAATTTCGGGGACGCAGCATCAACCGGACAGCCTTACGAAGTTGGATTCTACGTTTCCGACAACGCCAACATCGACGACGGCAATGACAGTCAGATCGCACAGACCACGTTGATCGTTCCAGGCGCAGGCAGTGGAAGCCCATTCGCAGGTTCCATCACTCTTCCGTCAGTGAATCCCATTGGAGGTTCGAATCAGTACTACGTCGGGATGGTTCTGGACATCACCAATGTGATTCCCGAATCCAACGAGTCGAATAACAAGAACCAAGGGCAGTTTATCGATCTCGATATGTTGACCATTCTGGATCCGGAGCCGGACATCGTTCTCAGTGAGACGACTTTGGACTTTGATCGAGTCGTTGATGACGGGACTGGGAACTCACTGGTCTCCCGCACGCTGGAGATCAGCAACGCCGGGCAGACGGAGCTGGCTGTCAGTCAGAATGGCATTACGTTCTCGGATGGGTCTCACTTTCAGCTCGGCAGCATCATCAGCAGTACTGACGGCGGTACCGAAGTCGATCTGACGAATGGGTCAAGCCAGATTAATCGGTACTCCAGCGAATCATGGCTTGTCGAAGTCCTGTTCGACCCCACGGCCACCGGGACGCTGAATGACACGCTGACCATCGCCAGTGATGATCCCAATGATCCGTCCGTCGTTGTCCAGCTGACCGGCATTGGCGATCCACAGCCGGACATCGCCGTCGCCGATCTGAATGACCTGCCGAACGATCTGCTGTTTGATTTTGGTTCTTTCTCGAATGACGGTGTCGGAGGCGCCACAACCTCCACCACCATCGACATCACCAACCCCGGCAGTGGTCCGCTGACGATTGAACAGGACGGCGTGACGGCGTCCGGGGCACCGTTCAGCATTACGGGAATCACCAGCAGCACACAGGGCGCGATCAGCCTGGGGGCAGGCCCCGCCACCATTGCCGAAGACGACAGTGAAACGTGGACGGTGACTGTTGTCTTTGATCCGGCCAACAACGGACTTGTCAGCGGCAGCCTGACGATTCTGAGCGATGATCATGACGAGGCCACCACCACCGTCACGCTGCTGGGCACCGGTCGCGGACCTCAGAACATCGTGGCCCTGGATTCCGTTGGGGCGGACAACGATCTGGCGATGGATTTTGGCGGAGTCCACGCGGACGGCAGCGGTCAGCAGCAGCAGACGCAGACCGTCACGCTCACCAACGACGGAGAACTGCCGCTGACCATCCTGCAGAACGGCATTCATCTGGCCACCGGCACTCAGTTCTCCATCGACAGTGTGACCAGCAGCACCCAGGGTCTGATCAACCTGACCGCGGGGCCGGTGCAGCTGGCTCCCTTTGACGATGAAACCTGGACGGTCGTGATTCTGTTTGACCCGACGACCGCCGATCCGTTCAGTGATACTCTGCGCGTCGACAGCAATGATCCCGATACGCCTCAGTTGCAGGTCGCGCTCAGCGGAACCGGACTGGACGAAGCCGATATTGAGGTCACAGACTCGTCCGGACCGGACAGCGATCTGACGGTGTCCTTTCAGCCAACGCTGAACGATGGCGCTAACGGTGAGTCTCGCACCGAAACCGTCGAAATTCGCAACGTGGGGACTCAGCTGCTGACCGTTGCTCAGAATGGAATTGGGCTGACGACCGGAACCGACTTTCACATTGTCAGCATTGTTTCCTCGGTGACCGGCGCCGTCGATCTGTCATTCGGCGCGGACTCCATTGATCCGCAGTCGGCCGAGGTCTGGACCGTGACGGTGGAGTTTGATCCGACGAGTACTGCCAGCCTGGCCGACACGCTGACGATCACCAGTGATGATGCGGACGAAGCGACGGTGAATGTGCAGCTGGATGGTGAAGGCGTGGTGCCGTCCATTACGGTCGATTCGCCCGCACAGCCGATCAATGTGTCGGCATTGAGGCCGTATCAGATCGAGTGGACAGACACGTTCACGGCCGGCGATGCATCGATTTCACTGTTCTACGATACCGACACCAATCCGGCCTCCGGGTTGATGCAGATCGCATCGGGACTGTCGGAAGATTCGCTGCGCGATCACTACAACTGGCAGGTCCCCGTTTCCCTGGTTGGATCGACAGTGACGATCTACGCCGTGATCGATGCGGCGGGCGTCTCTTCCGGAATGTACGCAGCCGGCACACTCACCGTTGATCCGGCGAACACGCACCGACTGCTGTCGGCACCGATTGTGGACACGGCAGACTACACGCTGCGCTATGAGTACGAAGGGACCGAACGCACTCAGAACTTCACGCTGCAGCTCGGTGAGAATCTGCTCTACCCCACCACCACCGGGACCAGCGGCCAGGTGACTCACGAATTCCGTATCACGCGAGTTCCGACACTGGTGGATGCGGAGTTTCTGGAATACGACGAGCTGGGCAACGTCACGGCGTCGACGGATTCCAACGGTAACCGCACCGAGTTTGTCTACGACGACCAGTCACAGGTGGTGCAGATCTCTCTGGCAGACGGAACTGTCAGTGAGTTTGCGTACGATGCGAGTGGCAGCCTGACGTCGATGCATGACACCACCGGCTACCAGCTGTATGAGTATGACAACCTGGATCGTCTCACATCAGTCACCTATTCCGAGGATGATCAGTCGGGTGATCCGTCGGATCTGACGATCAGCTACGAGTATGACAGTGTGGATCGCCTGACGGCAATTGACTATCCCGGCGGCAAGCGCATTGAATACGGCTACGACGCGGTCAACCGACTCACCACGGTCACCGACGTGGTTTCGGGAGGACCCAATCTCGTCACCACGTACACCTACGATGTGGTCACGGGGCTGCTGTCGGAGACGACGTTGCCGAATGATGTGGAGACGATCTACACCTACGATACCAGTGGCCGACTCACCGACGTGCTGCATCAGCGCACCTCAACAGCGGCCCTGATCACCCACTATCACTACGACCTTGATTCTTCGGGTCGCAGGACGAAGATGGAGGTGGCGACGGCAGGTGGCACGCGTGCGGAAGCCTATCGCTACGACGCCTTTGATCGGCTGGACCAGGTGACGTATTCGGTTGATGCCACGATCGACCCAACGGACCGTGTCGTCACCTACACCTATGACACAAATGGAAACCGGCTTTCGCTCAGCGATGATGTTGATGGCACCGGAGCCACCGCGCCGGTGGTTCAGACGTATGAGTATTCATTTGAGAACCGGCTGGGGCGCGTGACGAACCAGAATACCGGCGACGTCACCGAGTATTTCTACGACGCCCGTGGAAACCAGGTGATGCGGGTCACGTCTGGCGAAACGACTCATTACGCCTACGACGGACTCAATCGTCTGACCGGAGTCACGGACAGTGATGGGTTCGCTGAATACTCCTACGATGCAGCCGGGCGGCGGTTGTCGCAGATCGTCAATGGCGTAGAAACACAGTTCGTTGTTGATCCATCCAATGCCATCTATCAGACGATTGAAGAACGTAATGCAGCTGGTGCCGTGACGGCCGACTATACGTACGGTCTCCAGCGCCTCGCTGGTGTACTGGCTGGCGAGTCCGCGTCGACGTTCTACCTGCATGATGCTCTGGGATCGACGGGAGCATTGACCGATGACACCGGGGGACTGCGCGGTGTTTATGAGTACGACGCCTTTGGGACGCTCGCTGCACCGGCGCCGGTCGCTCAGAACCCCTTCGGGTTTACCGGGGAGCGATTAGACGCGGAAACGGATCTCATCTATTTGCGTGCCCGGCAGTAT